CCTGCCAATGAAGAAGCCAATAGAAGAAGCTGGTTAGAAAGATGGCGGTGGTACCTGGATGCGGTCACCTATCTGTTTTAAATTGCATTTAAGTTCTTTATATCTAAATTTGTATTTTTAAAACTTTTATATTTTTATACTAATTTCCTGGACCGCAAAATATTCACGTAGCGAACATGGGTTTCGTATAATAAAGATATTGAATGTCTTGCTGTGGGTCTATTGTGTAGAAGAGGGCATATTTAGTTCAGACTTAGATATAGATCACATATATATGTTCGTCCGATTTCATCTATATTGTTACGTTCTTGGATTTTACTTAATCCCGTGTAGACGTTGTTTTATTTCCCAATACAGTTCGTACTAAATAAAACGGGTTCTTTCTGATTACGAATATTACAATGATTTTATAGACACAACTTTACTTTGCACTTTACTTTACTTGACGGTTTCAATTCGCGATCTGATTCACAACTGACTAACTGCCTTCCCATTTCCCCTATTTATATGAGCCTTGCCTGTCGCTACAGAAGTTTCTAGACGATCTGGTAACACCTAGATTACGAACAATCTACCAATGCAACAAACACATACAAACTTACATTGAGTGAACAATAACAACAACACATATACAGGCGAGGGTGTAACAAAGAAAGAGGAATTACATTGAGTGAACAATAACAACAACACATATACAGGCGAGGGAGTAACAAAGAAAGAGGAATTAAGCGATCATCAATGATGACGTTTAACAAGAATTGTACGTCAATAACAAAATAGAAAATGAAAGAGGAAATGGAAGGATGTAGAAATATCTATGCAGTAGTTGTTGTTGTGAAGTTATTCGAATAAACTGCGTAATAGAAATTTACGTTACAATTCAAATTCTTAAATTAACGGAATTCATCTAAATTAACTTAAATCTAAAGTTATATTCGTAACATTGCCCCCGCTTAAGCCTGTTCGTCCCGAATAGGCACAGTTCCCGTTCCGTAGGGGGTCAGCCGCTCCAAATGTACAACTTTCATCTTCGACCTGGGACTGTCGCTCCTCTGGATGCGATAAACGACGTCATTTATTTTCGTGACAATCTTGTAGGGTCCTTCCCAGTGCGTTTGCAATTTGGGGCATAGTCCTTTCTTTCGTTGTGGGTTGAACAATAATAGTACCAGTTGCCCTTCTTGAAACCCATCGGTATTTGCCGCTCGATCGTACCTTGCCTTCATGCGGTTGCTAACCATTTTTATTCGATGGCGAACTGCATCGTGGACTTTACTAAAAGAGTTTTGACTGTCTTCATCTTGGTTCACATCGTCGTTTGGGGTAGCACCGAATATCAAATCGCCAGGTAGCTTTAATTCACTTCCGAACAGAACTTTGGCTGGGGTCCGGGATGTGGAATCATGAATGACCGATCTATAAGCCAGTAAAAACTTTTGAATATGCTCATCCCAGTCTCGTTGGCCACTGTCCACCACTTTCCGTAGATGTTCTTCAAGGGTGCGATTAAATCTTTCCACCATGCCATCTGATTGTGGATGTAGGGGCGTCGTTCTGGTTTTCTTGATTCCGTAGGAGTCACACATTTCCTTGAAGATCGCTGATTCAAAATTCCTACCTTGATCGGAGTGAACCTCAGATGGAACACCATAGCGACAAATCCAATTTTTGCTGAACACATCCACAATTGTCCTGGCTTCTTGATTTGGGATAGCATAAACCTCTGGCCATTTGCTGAAGTAATCCATGACCACTAAGACATACCGGTTCCCAGAGTCACTTATTGGGAACGGTCCAGCTACATGCATTGCGATTCTTTCAAAAGGGGCTCCTGAATTATACTGCTGCATGTAGCCTCGACTTTTCCGTGTTGGACCTTTAGCTCTTATGCACCTTTCACAATTGGCGATCCAGTCGGCAATGGATTTTTGACAGCCGACCCAGTAGAATCTCTGCTTTACCTTTTCAGCGGTCTTTTCTATGCCAAGATGTCCTCCACTTGGCCCATCGTGAAACTCCGACAAGACTCCGACAAGACATCTCTTATTTTGGAGTCTGGGACGACGATCAAGTTCCGGTGAGATTTACCGTCCTGACTTTCCCATTTGCGATATAAGCAACCATCTATTATAAGTAGACTGTCCCACTGGGCCCAATAGGATTTTAAAAGAGGGCTTTCGGAGGTAATTTCTTTGCGACTAGGTCGCTTGCCCGTTTCTATGGCCGAAATTATTTTGCCCAGAATGGGATTCCCTCGTTGTTCCGTCGACCAATCTTCACCCGACTCAAACTGCAATAGTCGGACATCAACGATATTCTCTATACACTCAGCCTTTGAGCAATGCCTGCATTCTACCTTGCATGGCCGACGAGACAGGGCATCAGCATTACCGTGTTTTCCGCCTTTTCTGTGTTCGATTCTGTTTAACGGTGACTCATTGGTGGACTGTTGAGCCATTCTTCTACCATCTTTCGTTGGAGGTGGTGACGATGACCTGGATCGTTTGCGATTAGCTCTGCATTCGCGCGCAATATGACCTGCTTTATCGCAGTTGTAGCTTCTAACCCTGGGCTTAGTCATCCCTACTAACTTTGTTTCTTCTATTACCTGCCTCATGGCGTCCTTGATCGAGTTAACGAGAGATTTGGGTTCGCAACATTCGGTCTCCAGTTGGCGAATCTTGGGGGTCTGGGGCTTAACAATTATTCTTGACGTCCTTTGGGCAAGGGCAAACGACACGGTTTCGGCAAATGACGCTTTTGGTGACGCATATGTTGCACATTTAATCTCAGGATCACGTATGCCATTCACAAAGGTTTCGATTTTCATACGGTCCACCAATGGGTGATTCTCTCCTGGATACGTCATTTGCACCAAACGTTCCACCTCAGCTGCAAAGTCTTGTAACGTCTCGTTTGCCCTCTGTACTCTTCCCCTTAATTCCATAAGGTAGATGTTTTGTTTATGTTCGCCACCGTACTTACGTTCCAGTGCAGCAATAACATCTTCATAGTTGTTTCTAGAAGCGACAGGAATACTCTGCATAACATCAGTAGCACTGCCCTTCAATGCCAGATGTAGTGCAACCGCTTTGTCGCTGTCGTTCCACGAATTTCTAGAAGCCACTGTCTCAAACTGTAACTTGAAAACATTGAATGACGTAGATCCGTCGAATACAGGAGGTTTGATTTTTAGTGTGTTATCAGGAACTCGCACCGGACCAATTTTGATATCCAGTTCCGACATTTTCTTCTCCAGATTCGTAAACCTGTGGTCGTGGGCCAGAAATTTCTCGTCCACAGACAGAATCTTCTCGGTTTCCACTCCACGGTTTCCACTCTCCTTCCAATAACTTCTGTAACGTTCTCGAGTTTCTCGTTCATTATTCTCGAATTTTCGTCAAACATTCTACAATTCTCTGCCTTGAGTTCATCTAACTTTCTAGAATTCTCTTCGAACATTCGTCTCGTGTTTTCTTCTAACTTTCTGAAATTCTCTTCGCTTCTTCTGGAATTTTCCTCAAACATTTTAGCCAGCATTTCTCTTAAATCGTCACCTCTGGCAGCTACTGACGAGACTTCCCCACCGTTGGATTCGCCCATTTCCGATAAATCCACTTCATCCTTACTGTCAAACTCATATGTATCGATGTTCATACCACGGCGCTCGAACTCATCCAACAGACGTTTTTGTAGTTCAGCCTTGTTGCCAGTAGAGGACAATTCCAATTTATTGAGCTCCTTCTTCAAGTCTTCCACTCGTAGATCCTTAAACTTCATCGTAGTATTATCGTAATCTCACTTCCGACACCAATTGTTACGTTCTTGGATTTTACTTAATCCCGTGTAGACGTTGTTTTATTTCCCAATACAGTTCGTACTAAATAAAACGGGTTCTTTCTGATTACGAATATTACAATGATTTTATTGACACAACTTTACTTTGCACTTTACTTTACTTGACGGTTTCAATTCGCGATCTGATTCACAACTGACTAACTGCCTTCCCATTTCCCCTATTTATATGAGCCTTGCCTGTCGCTACAGAAGTTTCTAGACGATCTGGTAACACCTAGATTACGAACAATCTACCAATGCAACAAACACATACAAACTTACATTGAGTGAACAATAACAACAACACATATACAGGCGAGGGAGTAACAAAGAAAGAGGAATTAAGCGATCATCAATGATGACGTTTAACAAGAATTGTACGTCAATAACAAAATAGAAAATGAAAGAGGAAATGGAAGGATGTAGAAAAATCTATGCAGTAGTTGTTGTTGTGAAGTTATTCGAATAAACTGCGTAGTAGAAATTTACGTTACAATTGAAATTCTTAAATTAACGGAATTCATCTAAATTAACTTAAATTTAAAGTTATATTCGTAACAATATATTGCACCATTTAACCAAAAATTGTGCTATAGCAATGACATTTTTACCATATATATTTTCTTCCGATTGTCTTTTACCAGCAAAGAATCCAATAGTGGATTGTTCATTTAAATTTTTCAATTTTCTTGTTACTATTATAAATTCAAAGTTGGATATTGCAAACATGCAATGTTACCCTTGCCATGTTAGAGACCGTGCATATTTTTGTTGAATGTTGTTGAAAATTAAAACAAAATATGAATGATATCGATATTTTACTGAATATTTCCATTACATATAGGCCATGTGATGCAAGGCCGGAATAAAAAAATGATTTCAATTTACTCACATCTTACGTGGAATAGAGCAACTTCTACAGTTTTTCAATCGGTGTGTGAAAGAGATGATATTTTTTTGAATTTTTACACAACATGGAGTCTAATATAGCGAACAAATCTGCATCTTTATCTCAAATGTCACAATCTTTAATTTATGCCGGCCTTGCAGAAAATAAGCGATAAGTCAAATGATAAAATTGTATACATAACATTAAAGACTTTTTTATGAAGCTCTACTATGCATTGGATAGACATTTATATTAAATGTATTTCTCCGCTTACATGATCTCCGGTTCCAGCTAAATGAATACACATAGGCTTTGTCCTCCCAGTCCACTTGTTCGGTAAAACCACTTGAAAATGAGCATCTTGAGCAGCTTTAGGTACTATACCGGGCAAGTGTAATTCAAGCGGAGTTAAAAATTTTCCTTCTAGGATCAGACCGTCTGGGTGTTTTTCTTCTTTTGTTATTTCTACTGGGTAATCTTTCGGGACCAACGGAAAACATGTACTTCTTTGCGATATTATTTTACGAAATTGAAATAGTCTGTAAAATAAATTATGTGGTTATATATAAGTATATATAAGATCATCAGCTGTGGTGCTGTGTTTGTTAAAACTGTTTAAAAATAATGTTGAGTGGTCTTAGAAGAATGAATACAATATAAGATTTTTGCATAGTTCGTATAAACGAGTTCGACTGTGCATATATTCGTATCAAAAAGTTTTTAGTAAGGAAAGCATGACGTTGTTCGAAAAAGGGTAAAGGAAGTGTGTATTTGTAAGAAAATTATTTAAGGTTCACACTAGTTAGATATCAAGTGCAATTATGCCAATACTCATGCCACTGTTAATGAAGCACTCATATAAAAATGAATAAAAAGTTGTTAACGTAATTGAGCAAGTGATGCAAATATATAAAAAATGGTCGGCCACGCCCCCTCTTTATTCCGCATGTTGTGATTGTTGGCCACAATTTTTAACCGATTTGGCTGTAATTTGATTTTTTAGGTTCTCATTTTATACAAAATCCTCCTAACAATAATCATCACAATTTAAGTTCTCATTTATTTAGTTGTGTATGCATTAAAATATTTTTTTTAAATTAAAAAATCCGCGAAAATTTTGCAAAATATATTTTGAAAGATATGAGCATTCTGTTCGTAGTTCTTTTTGGACATATTTTGGGCGAAAATGGACAGCGTTTATTTTTATGTAATTGTTAATTACGGAAAATTCTCAAAATATGTTAATTTTCTACAATTTATTGGATTTTCATTACTTTGAAAAAACTATTCCATATGAAAATACATTTATATTTTCATTACAGTTAAATTTAATAATAAAAAATCGAAAAAAGAGAGTAAGATTAATCGCTATCATTATTAGCTCACATTTTCCATTATGTGAAGAAATTTGCATGGTATGTATAGGTTGTGAAATTTTTCTCAAATAAAATACAGTAAGAAATGGTAAAATAAAAATTCAGCGGTTCCATTATGTGTACCAGAAACTATCTTACCCTATGGGGAATACCGAATTAAAGGCAATTAAATTGATATTTTGTCACTACTTTCCAAGTACTTTAGGATAAAGATGCTTAAAAGCGCACAATAATGAAACAAATTGTTTTGAGCATGTAAATGTGGTGTATTTATGTGATATCTGGGCCACTGACCGAAACTTGATCGTGTCCTTAATAGGAAACAACACCAGGAATATACATAGACATATGTTTTTATATTTTAGTAAAAACGAAAACGTCTATCAAAGTATTCAATACAGTTGATGTTAGTAATTCGCTATATAAGATTACAAATACGTCAACAACGAAGGTATTTTTGAACATTTTCTTATATTCGGGAAGAATACATTTAAATTCGAATCCTACATGGAGACAATTCCTGTTTTTGTCTAACTTATATGTGCCTTTATGGTTCCTCAAATGTATTTTTAAAGATGTAAATAATGTTTGCATGGTGTATTGACTGGACCGACTTCACTCACGTTTTCCTTCTGCTGTTTGTAATTGCACTGGGAAGGTTTTTACGAAGAAAATGTTGAGAAAAACATCAAAAGGTCGGGAAATTGGAATAATCGAACGTTGTGTTAGTTACATTGTTTGTAACTCTATAACTCTACACCGATTTTGACGATTCAAAGGATCGTATGTGGTCAAAATAGGAAAATATGCAAAATAATTGTGAGATTCCGCCAAAGCAAATATATTAAGTAATATTTACAATTCCCCAATATTGCTATCGAGCTTTTATGTTTAAATAAATTGTTGTTTTTTAAGACATAAGGTTTTTTGAATTATTTAGATCAAAACAAATAATTTCTTAAAATATGTGTTTGTTATAATACTAATAATGAGATCGTTAACATCGACGAAAATAATGGTATTAGTATTCCCGTCGGATATTTGAAGTTTTGTCTTATTTTACAATGTTTCTTTTTTTGACCGACAACTTGAAGTTTGGATGTTTACCTATGTAACCTTAAACAACAACTTATTAAAATGTTAAATTAAAATGAAGTTTTAAAAAAAAGTGAGGATATAACAAATCCGATTACAACCTTTCACGATTTAGAGTTAAGATATAAAACAGGCATTTACGGCGTCAACATTGGCCAAACTTTCCCCCTTAACTGTCAAAAACTATATATAGAATATATAGCAAACATATACAAATATATAACGGTAATCTGAAAACTAATTATCAATTTGTTTAAAAATTAAATATGCCTATAACAGAGCAGAAACCACTAATTTTCTATGCCAAATCTAAAATTTTTCGAGTTATATACTGATTTCAATATAAAAACAGAGCAGAAACCACTAATTTTCTATGCCAAATCTAAAATTTTTCGAGTTATATACTGATTTCAATAAAAAATCAAACGGTCAGTTGGACATGAACAAAATGATATTGTAATTAAGAATTCTTCAAGAAGGGACAAATAAGATAATATATAAAAACGTTGGAGCAACAACAAAACATGATCTTCTATTGAAAAAAAAAAAACAGATTTGGTGAAATAAGATCTACCAAATAATAAACTGTTATGTGCTTGGCCCTGCATTGAGTACAAGTTAATACTTTTTATTCACATAAACATAGTGGCAAATGTTTTTTACCAATCTTATATTGATGCAATATTGATAAGGCAAAACAAGGTTTGTCAGCATATATATATATATATATATATATATATTTGGTCTATCGTAGATAATTTATAACTATATGCGTCTTTATTTGGACAGGGTGAATATGAACAAGTTGTAGCAAAAAAAAAAATTAGAGCTTTTCTCAAATGTCTGGGGCGCTAAATAAAAGATTATCCATAGGTAGTATTAAGCGTAGTGAAGTGGCCAATCTCTGGCAGTGAGATTTTCCTGGTTGCAAGGACTATAAAAAGGGTGCACAGTGTGTGCTTCAGCCTACAGTTCGAACGAGGGAAGAGGAGAAGTTTATAGAAGATACTATACGCCACCCAAAACTGGTGCTGGCGATATACAGTTTTCAACCCTATAAATCTCCTGACCCAGATGGTATAATACCGGCCATGCTGCAACACGCATGAACGAGTAATATCATCTCTGCAGGATATCTTTAGGGCTTGTTTACCTCTGTCGTACATACCATGTCTATGAAAAGAGGTAAGTGACCTTCATCCCGAAAGCCGAGTCATACGCTACCAAAAGTCTATAGACCGATTAGTCTTTCTTCCTTTCTATTCAAGACTTTAGAAAGGTTACTAGACTCAGAAATTAGGAACACTATTGACCATAGTAAACTTAGCAACTCTCAGCATAGTCTCCGAGTGGACGGAAGGTAAATCCCTAACCTAACCTAATAAAAATATTTAGGACTGTGTTAGAAATTATGTTTAGTCTTGTTTAGATAAATATTGCAAAGTTTCCGGGACTCTGTCGTATATTTAGACCTTGCAATAGCATATTTAGCATAAACTATTGTGGGCCTATTTTTTATATATTTTTTTAAGTTAATTTTTATACTTTTTAATACTTGAAAGCCTAGATATGATCCATGGATATCTTTCCGAGTTTCTAACTCTAACAGTGGAAACACATTCCAGAATAAATTTATTGAGGATATCATATGATTTATATACTGTTAATTCTAGATCACTATGACTCTTGCAAATAAATAAAGAGGTCCAATTTACAATTGAGTTAAATACGTTTAGCTTTCGGAATACCGTTTTATTATAATTAGTGACAGATTTAAATGACATTGGTAGCTAAATTATTATGCATCATGGATATGCATAGTGTAGGATTATACAGTAAACAACGCTTAATTACCTCAGTGAAAATTTCAAGATTTTTGAGTAATTATCCGTGAAAGGTAATTAAGCGTGCACGATTAATCACCTCGCTAGGGTAATTATCCGTGGACCCCGGTTAATTTCCCAGCAAGGGTAAATATCGGTGGACACTGTTGTTTTGTTTTGTCTTTCTTTTTTGCTTGAGATATTAACTGGAGCTTTAGTTTGACAAAGATGTATTTCTGGGAGACATTTCACGAAAACTTTCAAAACAATAGATTTTATGTGCACATGTGTGGCAAGTGCACTAGCAAATGTAAGCCATTTTAAGTGAAGTTGCCAGATTAAAAAAATACATTGGGTAATTACCGTAACCGTAATTTTATTTTCAAATATAAGTTGTTCATCTCCATTCTTTCATTTAAATCTAAATTGTACTAAACTTAGTACCATTTAGTACACATAATTACTTATTTTTAATTCCAAATTTTATGATTTCTGCTCACACAAAACGAATTGTACCATATTTAGTACCATTTGACGAATTTTGAAAACTTCCTGCACTCCAACTTTAATATTAATTAAAAATTTCAGAATCTCAGAATGGTACCAAAAACAGTTTTCTGGTACCATTGATTAAGAAGTTCCGAAACTACATAAACTAATGTTAATTCCAAAATTCTGGAGTCCAGCTCTTTCCGTTCATACATAATCAAGCTGAACCAAATATAGTATCATTTAGTACACATAAGTACTATGCTTCAATATATATCAATTCTATATTCCAACAGCAACCATTATTCCAAATTTTAGGTTTCCAGCTCTTTCCGTTCACCCAAATCCAATTTGTAGCAAATCTAGTGCTGTTTAGTACTTTTCGTTCACATAGCTCAATCTTTAACAGTAATCTTACTTCAACATTTCAGGTTTCCAGCTCTATAGCATAATCCAAATTGTCCTAAATTTAGTACCATATAGTACTTTTCATACCAATATGTACGGATTTCATAAACTACCTCAATCCTATACTCCAACAGTCATTTTAATTTCCAATTTGAATACTCCAGCTCTATCTGTTCATCTAAATCCAACTTGCACCAAATTTAGTAACATTAAGTACTTTTCGTACACATAAGTACAATTTTTAGGGCTACCTCAATCCTGTACTCCAATAGTTGTCCTAATTCATATTTTCAGGATTCCATCTCTATACTCTCAACTAAATGCAAATAGTACCAAATTTAGTACCATCTAGTACTTTTCATACACATAAGTACGGATTTCTTAAACAATTTTTATATATCAACACCACTTCCCATCCTGTATTCCATATGAAATTTCAAGATATATGTTCAATATATATACAATTAAAACTAAATTTAGTAAAGTTTAGTACTTTTCGCACACTTATAGCACGAGTTTCCAAAAACGCTTTTGTACATCTTTCTAAATTTCCATCAGTGACCCACATTCCAAAGTTCAGATTTCAAGCTTTTCCCGTTTGCGAAATACAAAGGGTACCATATTTTGTACATTTTAGTACTTTTCGAACCCTTCTAGTTCGAATTTCCAAAAACCCAGCCTTATCACATGCCTACACACCAACAACAACCTCCACTCAAAATTTCAAAGTAGGGAGGAATGTATGAGCAAGTCACAAATAATTTAAATTTTTTTAATTTAATGGATATGCAAATAAATTCGATATCAAAACAGTTTAATCCAATTAAATTAGTGGAATATTTAGAATAAACTGCAATAAGGACGCCACCACCTCTGTTTACAACTCTACCATTTCCACACATATAAGTATAGGTCCAGAACCGGCCGTGCGATAGAACAGTGTTGGTAGCGCTTGACCTATCAAAAGCCTTTGATACTGTTAACCATACCACTCTATTTGAGGACATTGAGAGCACTTCCCTCCGTCCGAGTTTGAAACGTTGGATAATCAACTATATGTTTGGACGTCAGTCGTACGTGGAGTTTCGGAAAGAGGGAGTTCTTCAGGGTGGAGTGATTTCTCCGGAATCGCTATCCGGACGGCATAGAAATCGTTACATACGCAGATGATTGTACGATCATGGCGTCGAGTGCCATTGTTGAAGACATATGAGTGAGGTTGAACGCCTATCTTGTCGAATTAGCAGCCTTCTTTAAAGCGAGGAATATGAAAATATCTGCCACGAAGTCGTTAACCACATGGACTGCGGAGATGAGAATGCCGTTGAATGTGCAGGTCGAGGGGCATACAATTCCGACCACCAACTACCAGAATACTCGGGGTCACATTCGACAGTATGTTTAAATCGTCCGCGCAAACCACAGCTATCTGCGATAAGTTGCAAAGTAGGCCTCTTACAAAGCGATAGGTCGGTCTGTGGCAAGCTATGCGGTTCCAGTGTGGTCTGCGAACTCTAGTGATACGCAATGGAGAAGTATTCAGACCTGTCAGAACGCCGCCCAGAGGACTGCGACAGGGTGCCTCCTCATGACACTAGTGGACCATCTTCAAGAGGAGACGAAGATCATTTCCTTACGTCAGCATAGCAATATGATTTCGTTGCAGTACCTGCTCGGGTGCTTCAGGGACCATCATATGGTGGATAAGACTCCCCCACCCAGGCGTGTCAGGAAGGATCTGCATAATCTAGAGAGACGTTACAAAAGGGAGCCTCTAGATCAATGCCTATAGAGCAGGTCTGAATAGCATCATACTGATGCAGTAGCCGCAGCGCTGAACGAGTACAGATTGAATGCCGTCCTCGGAGCTCACCCCCACCCATAGCAGCTGAAGAACGTCAGCTGCCCAGACAAACCAGAGTAGTTTTGGCCCAATAACGTTCAGGATGGTACAATCGTCTCAATTCGTATTGGGCACGGATTGATTACCAGGTGCAGGATGTCAACCCAGCATGTGGTACGGGCCCTCGTACCACACTGCACTTATTCAATTGAACAGCCAAATCTACTCATCTTACTCCAGAAGATCTGTGGAGACAGAACCAAATGAAATTTAAACAGAAAAAATTTAATTCATATAAACTGGTGCAACAACAACAAATCTATATTTTCTAAATATTTGATATTTAGAACACAAAATTTCACTATTTAACACGGATGCTTTCAAGTTTCAGAAAATACTATAACATCATAATTAAAACCAAGGCTATCAGAGAATAATCAAGTTAATTTTGTGTTTAACCCTCATACATTCTGATAGCAAAAATTGAGAAACATATTTAGTTTTTTGGCAATGAGCTAAATTTTGAGAAAAATGAGCTAAATGTTCACATCTTCCCAAAAATTCCTTAACAAATGCATTAGCAGGCCAAAATTCTCTCGAAATTAGTCGATGAACTACGATTTTAAAAGATGATCTACTTTCTGAGAATGCAGACCGAAGCTTATAACAACGTAAAAATAAATGTCCATTGATTTTTGATTTTATGAAATAATTTATATCCTCAGTCGAGGTATCTGGTGCAAACCTAGATACTGAACACAATCAGTTTCCGTTGTTTCTATGATATTAGCGGATGGTGATTGTGGCACTGCATTCCCAACAGAAACTGTGGTGTTGTGACTAGACACGACTTTATTGGGAGCCTTTTTCGCAAACCTTTTGCGTTTATGTCCAGGCACAGACGGTGACGATACAAATTCCTCAATATCTTGTACTTTTCAAACAAATTGGAAAATTTCTCAAAACGGTTTGATAACCATGTAAATTACTTTTTCGTCAAGCCAAGCTCCGACTGCAATTCTTTTACAAAGTTATAAAACGGACACCAACATTATCCCTAGATTATTATGATTTCAAAAGGTTTTGTTTAGGTTCATGATATATTTTGTTTAGCATTTCGTATGTAATTCCATACAGACCAGCTGCAGATGGTTAATATTTTGCTCCATAACATTTTATAGTTCTTCCATTGAAAAATTTAAGAATTGACGATTGTGAAGCTTAAGCTTCATTTACACGATTGAAGGTTTCTTCAAAATGCTTCAAACTCGTGTAAACACCTAAATTTCTTCAAAATTTATTGATCAAAATTTATTGATCAAAATTTATTGATCAAAATTTATTGATCAAAATTTATTGAACAAAACTTTTAAAGATTTTATTGATACCGTGTAAATAGGCATCAAAATCGCATCTGGCAATATTGATGACTAGAAATATTTTGACAGCATGTTCATTCTTTTGATCAATACATATCATATTTTTTTATTTACACATTTTTGTTATCAGCTATTTCTTCCTCCAATATTAAAAAATGCTGATTACCATGTCGTCATCCATAGTTAATTATACTAAACTATTTCTCAAAATAACCAAAACAGCTGTGTAAATTAGCTTCAAAACATTTTGATCAAACTTTGATCAATCAATATATTGAAAGAATATTTTGATCGAATTTTTGAAACGTGTAAATAGGACTTCAAAATACATTTTAAAAATTTTGTTAAGACTAGGGAACCTGCTCACTTAAATGTCATAAGAAGATTTCGTTATAATCAGTGCTCCATTTGGATTTGAATTCGATAACAGGTTTAGTTCAGAAAGTTTTCGGAGTTTTGCACGATTTTTTGCACATTTTACAGATTATTTTTAAATTTCTCCATCATTTACTGTATTTTTGTATCAGCAAAATTCCTTTCTGCTGCTTCTTTTTGACGTAAGAGTTTGGTCCCACCATAATTTAAATTTAGTCCCAGGATTAATGGTTAAAGTTGTGCCTTTAATTGATAGATTTAGCTTAGATTGTATATCGTACATATTGGTATTCATTATTAGATTACATAACCTTTCGAAGAGATGTTTTCTTTATAAAAATAGATAATATTGCACTTTTGGTGTAAATTTCTATATGTTTATAACGATTGGCCTGTGGTGACTTCATCCTATTCTCTTATTTTTTACACTCCATGTAAGAGTTGAGAAAATATTTGTGAAAGTGAGATCTAACCAGAATCGAAAGAGTTGTCAAAAAGATTATTTTTAAAAAATAGTTGAGTCATCATTTATGCATCGAAATGCAGAGTTGTACATCAGCGTTTGCACAGCAGATCCTCGAACTGTGTCAAAAACGTCACCACAGGCTTTGCATCTGGCATTAAAATCTGCACCAATCATAACATTGGATTTCCATCTTCAATGCTTATACGACCACGTTTAAATTCAGCAACCCAATTTTTTACTGTAGCATATGAAGGAGCACTTTCACCTAACACATTCACCATGTCTTTATGAATTTCTTGTCCCGATAAACTTTTTTGTGTAAATATTTAATGACAGCATGCGTCATTCCATTGTAAAAAATTGCGGATGCGTCTTTTTTGAACACCTGTTTCTATATGAAGGAGTTGCCAGATCGAAACAAAATTCTACATGTGTTCATAACAGATATGGAAGCAAACACTTAACTTTTTTCTGAAGTTTCCGAACTGCCCTCGTAAATAGTTTTTATTTTTATTCAGACTTTGTATGTTGTGCTGTAGGATTATCATGATCTGTTTTATTTTAAATTGTAGGTGCTTCATGATGCTTTTAAGGCATCTGAAAAAATCGTTTAAAACGGCTGCTATTTGTTGCGTACAAAGCAGGCACAATTTTTTCATATTCAGAAATTTTAAAGAAGTTTTGAAATTCAAAAGATGGCTTAGAGGACACAATCGTTTCTTGTTCTCCTATGATCAACGATCTCCTGGGAATTGTTGCTGCAATAATTTTTTGTGCTGCAATAATTTTTTTTTGTAATACAAAATTATTTGCCGAGTTATAATTGTTAAAGCTCAGACGAAAGGTTATGTAAGCAACGCTTTACGTACTCTTAACAGAAGTAGAAAGGACCTGAATGGACTTGACTATAAATATTTATTTTTGTTGAAATAAACTTGTAATATTTATACTTGTTATATACAAGTGTTAAATTGATATAGTAGGCTTAGAGATAGAAACTGAATTGTCATAACGATAGATACATATTGAATAAAATTTTTCCTGACTTCATCCTAAACATTCAAAACGATTAGTTGAATTTATTCTACCACTTCCACATTTACATCAGGTTATGGGCCTTTTGTACCGTTTTTGGTAGAATTGTTACGCGGAATTAATTTCATAAATCGTGCATTTTAAAACGCAATGGCTTCAGTTTTCAGACGACATGCGAAATCTTGTTTGGTGATTTAAAAATGCTGGAATGTTGTCAAAAAAGGGATAAATGGGGACAAGGATCGTGAAATTAATGAACTTGCTTTGGCGGAGATAACGCTAATGATCGAACCCAACAATTTCGCTCATATTGCAAAAGCTAAAACGACAAAGGAAGCTTGGGATTCGATAGTAAGCGCATACGAGGATACTGGAACTGTTGAAACAGTTAGTGCAACTTAAGCTTGGTGATTTTTCATCAATGGAAGAATATGTAAATGCAATGATTTTAACATCTATCAAGGTCAACAATGCTGGTTTGGTAATTAATGACGAAGTAACGGCTTCTCTAATGCTGGCAGGATTGCCGGAAGAATTTCAATCATTGATGATGGCAATTGAAAATTCAAAGACCAAATTGACTGTTGACTCGGTACAGAATCTATTGTTGCAAGACGCTAAATATGATAACAATAAGAAAGAAAAAACATTGGTGTCAAACCAAAAATTCAAAAATTGTAAATTGAAGTGTCATTCGTGTAATGAAATTGGTCATTTTAGTAAAAATTGTCCAAAGAAAAACAAGAACAATCCTAAGAAACCAACAAAGAATAATGATGAAGTTTTGTATGCAGCTTTGATATCTGAAACAGACAAAGTGAATGAATGGTATATCGATTCAGGAGCGACGTCTCATATTACTAATAATAGAGATTTGTTATTTAATGAAACTAAGGTTTGTAACAAAGAAATTGTGGTCGCCAATAATAACAAATTGAAAGTTTCGAGTTCGGGAGATATACAGATGTCGTTGAATATGGGTGAGAATGTGGAGTATGTTCCAGATATCTGTGCGAATTTGCTTTTGGTTGCTCAGTTAACCCAGAATGGCAAGAAGGTTATATTCGAGAAAGATATTTGTCAGATTTTCAACAAGGATGATAATTTAATTGGGGAGGCTGTAATGAATAATGGATTGTACCATCTGAAGTGCGATGTGAATACCACGAAATAAAAATCTCTCATTGTGAACCAAACTTCAAATTTATGGCATCGTCGGCTAGGCCATATTTGTAGTGAAAACCTCCGAAATGTGAAGTCGTCTTGTTATGGTATAAATTGCGAAGTAACTTCAGATCAATGTGTTACCTGTGTTGAAGGAAAACAGACTCGAAAATCGTTCAAAGACGTAGGTGAACGAGCTACAGGCTTACTTGAAGTAGTGCATTCCGATTTACTTGGTCCATTTAGGCAAAAATCATTTTCTGGGAACTCTTATTTATTGACTTTTGTTGATGATTTTTCTAGAAAAATTTTTGTTTACCCAATAAAACGAAAATCGGAAGCTTTCGAGAGGTTTGTTGAATTCAAGAACGCTGTGGAAAATTAATGTTCGAGAAAAATAAAAATATTACGCACTGATAATGGAAAAGAATATGTGAACAACCGATTTGCGACATATTTGAAAGAACACGGAATAAAACACCAGAAAACATGTCCGTACACTCCAAAACAGAATGGAGTAGCAGAACGAATGAATCGTACTGTTGTAGAAAGAATGCGTTGTATGCTATTCGAGAGCAAATTAAGGGAACAATTTTGGGCAGAAGCAGCTATGACTTCTGCGTATCTTATAAACCGTGTTCCATGCAGAGGTAACTCACGTGCTCCAGAAGAAATTTGGTCAAACAAAAAACCAAATTTAAAACACCTTAGAGTATTTGGTTGTAAAGCTATGGTTCATGTACCAAAACAAAAGCGGTCAAAATTAATGAAAAAGTCCATTGAATGCATCTTAGTTGGATATAGCTCAGAGTCTAAAGCTTGTCGTCTATTTAATCCTACAAAAAATTAAATTATCACTAGCAGAGATGTTGTTTTCTTCGAATCTGAATTTTATGGTAAAATGTCTGATCAACATAACAATCTATATTTTCCAGAAATAGAGAAAGTGGTGAATTATGAAGATGACAATTCTGGGGGAAGTACTGTAGTTGAATTGTGAAATGAGAGAGAACCAACAATCGATTTGGAATCGTATAATGATTTGGAACCCAATGATAATAATTCAAGAAGTAGTGACGATGATTTTATGGACGCGATTACACCTGATGTTCATAATTCGGAATCTTCAGAAAATATAAATGAAAATCTTAATGTACGACGTTCAGAGAGGTTCGCTAACAGGCCTAAACGATCCTTTGTATTTAGTGCGATCGAAGCAATTTCATCACCATATGCAATTTCATCACCAAATTTAAAACACCTTAGAGTATTTGGTTGTAAAGCTATGGTTCATGTACCAAAACAAAAGCGGTCAAAATTAATGAAAAAGTCCATTGAATGCATCTTAGTTGGATATAGCTCAGAGTCTAAAGCTTATCGTCTATTTAATCCCACAAAAATGAAATTATCACTAGCAGAGATGTTGTTTTCTTCGAATCTGAATTTTATGGTAAAATGTCTGATCAACATAACAATCTATATTTTCCCGAAATAGAGAAAGTGGTGAATTATGAAGATGACAATTCTGGGGGAAGTACTGTAGTTGAATTGTCAAATGAGAGAGAACCAACAATCGATTTGGAATCGGATAATGATTTGGAACCCAATGATAATAACTCAAGAAGTAGTGACGATGATTTTATGGACGCGATTACACCTGATGTTCATAATTCGGAATCTTCAGAAAATATAAATGAAAATCTTAATGTACGACGTTCAGAGAGGTTAGCTAACAGGCCTAAACGATCCTTTGTATTTAGTGCGATCGAAGCAATTTCATCACCATATGCAGAGGAATGGAAGCTAGCGATGACGAAAGAATATGTTTCCTTGATTCCAAATGAAACATGGATTTTAACAGAGTTACCATCAAATAAAAAAGCAATTCCTGCAAAATGGTGTTTCAGGACAAAACTTGGTGCTAACAATGAGATTTTGCGGCGAAAAGCAAGACTTGTGGCAAAGGGTTATAATCAAGAAAAAGGAATTGACTATAATGAAACTTTTGCTCCTGTAGTCAGGTACGAATCAATCAGATTTGTAATTGCTTTAGCTGCAAAGTACAAACTGAAAATCCATCAAATGGATGCAGTTACTGCTTTCTTAAACGGTAATCTAGAGGAAGAAATATATATGGAACAGCCCGAAGGTACTACAGAATTCAGAAGGATGAAATAACATACATCGCAATTTACGTAGATGATGTTTTGATTTTGTCAAATAAATCGAGTCATATTGAACGTATTAAGGAATCTCTGAAGAAAAATTTCAAAATGCAAGACCTGGGTGAAGCTTCTTCAATGTTGGGAATTCGGATTTCTCAAAAGGACAACTATATCAAAATTGACCAGACCCAGTACATTCAAAATGTTCTTAAGCGTTTTCAGATGGTCGACTGTAACCCAATAAAAACTCCAGTTGATTGTAGTACAAAAATGTCAAAGGAACTTTGTCCTAAAACAAGGGAGGATGAAATATACATGTCTAAAGTTCCTTACATGGAAGTTATTGGGTGCTTATTATTTGCTGCAAATGTAACTCGCTCTGATATCTGTTACATCGTTATCGTGCTGAGTAGATATTGCGAAAATCCTGGAAAAGGTCATTGGGAAGCATGTAAAAGAGTGATGCGTTACTTAAAAGGAACCATGAATAAAGGTATAGTTTATGCACAAGATGGAGAAGAAATAACTGGATATTGTGACGCTGATTGGGGTAGTGACGTGGATGAAAGACGTTCAACTACTGGATATGTATTTACTTTCCAGTCAGGTGCTGTGTCATGGGCTACTAAAAGGCAGAAAACTGTCTTCAACGGAAGCGGAATTCATGTCTATTGTTGCGGCCATTCAAGAAGCTATTTGGCTAAAACGTTTGGAGAAAGAACTCTGTGTTAAACCTTCAAAAACTATAGTTTTGCGCTGTGATAATAAGAGTGCTATTCACGTTGCTCATAATAATGCCTATTCGTCTAGAACGAAGCACATCGATATCAGAGTCAAATTTATACAAGAACGTTTGCTTGATGGTACTATTAACTTGCAATACATATCTACAAATGAAATGGCTGCTGACATGTTTACAAAGGGCGTTACTTTCAACAAATTATTAGTTTTTACGAAAGTGTTTGGCTTACAATAACAATTTGTCATATATTTAAAACTATGTTACTATAAGTAGATATATTACATGTTCAGGGGAAGTGTTGAAATAAACTTGTAATATTTATACTTGTTATATACAAATGTTACAAACTGAATTGTCATAACGATAGATACATATTGAATAAAAATTTTCCTGACTTCATCCTAAACATTCAAAACGATTAGTTGAATTTATTCTACCACTTCCACATCTACATCAATTTTGTTTTCATTGAAATCATGACCTGCAAACATTTGGAAGTAAGTTTACCAAAAATTCTTAAAACGATAAAGATCTGGGGGTGTTTTGAGGTATTTGGGACAGAATACTGCATTTTGCTTCAAGTTTTGCTTAAAAATGTTTATATAGTCCCTTGCTGTCCTGACGCCATCAACCAAATGGAGTTTTTAACTCCAGGTGAAGAAAAACACACGCATACCATCTCTGTACCGTCACCATGCTTGAAGGAGACTATAACGAGATAAGGTCGTGTTGTTATCTCTCAAAAGTTGTACGAGTCCATCCTATATTTTGTGCAATGTGCAGATCTATTACAATTTTTCGTTGTTCTTCTGAAAGTTCACTTGATTTTCTACCCATATCATAAAAGAAAGGACAAAAATAAAATATTGTCTAAATATCCTGTTAATTACAACAATAACGAATCGCTGTCAACTTCGAATACGGATTTTGTTACCAATATAATGCAAACAACGCCATCTAGCTTTTAATTCATGCAAGAGGATTCAATTTTTTGCGTCATTTTTTGTTTTCATATACAAAACAAATGACATACATTTTTGGTTTTTTACATTACATACCTTGAATTATTTGTGATTTTTTGGGTTTATCATGGGTGCACAATTACGGATTTAGCATACAGATGGGGAAGTCCCATACATCCTAATATATAGGTCTCGGAAATTTGAATAAATTTGTATTTATTGGCTTCTAGTTAATTAGAAGATATATGTTATATGTGAAGAAAATTCATACATCCTAATATATAGGTCTTGGAAGTTCGAATAAATTGATAGGGGAGAGGGATGCACCTTTAAACACTTTTTTCGTTCAAGCCTCATAAATTTTTTATTGTATAATTTTTGGTTTATAAATTTTAACTAATAGGTACATATCGTCATCATAAATGCAAACGGACGTAACTACACTTTTACTCAATCCCACGACGGCCGGTTCTATGCACCGGATTGACTCGGAGGAATCAACTTCCGACCAAGGGCTGTCAACCCAGCAAATACTACGTGTATTTTTTCAACATGGGAGCATCATTACCCGGAATGCTTGCTCCGGATTCTTTTGGTCCGTGCCGGGATTGAGACAAACCCCGGACCACAACGAGATAGTGGATTTTATGAGTCGAAGAAGTATTATGGTCGCTGCGATCCAAGAAACGAAGCTGAACGACACCTGTAGTCTTCAGAGTTGTGATGGATACAACGTTATTAGAAAGGATCGTACAAGAGGTGGAGGTGGAGGATTAGCATTCCTATTGCACCATTCTGTCCAGTACAGACCTATCTCGTTTGAGCTAGACTCTAGTGACCCATACATGGAATGTATGGGAGTAGCGGTCAAATGTGGTACCGCCGAGGTAGAGGTGCTTAACGTTTACATTCCGCCGTTAAATAGCTGTGCCCCGCGTTATTTGCCCGACATTAGTCATCTTTTAGAAGGCAATACCCGTCTGGTGCTAGGGGATTTCAATGCACATCATGAGTTATGGCATTCCGTCCTAGGTAATGACCAGAAGGGCATGGCGCTGGCCGAGCAAATTGATAGCTCAACGTTTTGCACGGTGAACGAGGACATACCCACCAGGATGAGGGGAGACTGCCAAAGCTCACC